GCGTTCGTTTCCTTCACTTCCTTTCTTCCGCGTAGACCGAAATGTGTAGGTAGTATGGAGGTCGGCCGTCTCTACTCTATAGTTTATAATTTTATACGGAGTATGACTAAGCGTCTAAGCCTAAGGGTTTCTGGAACGTGGGATGGTGGATGACGTGTGGTTTTAATTTGATTTTCTTTATTTTTAAAATTAAAAAGGTAAATCAGTTTTAGTTTTAGCCACACTTAAACAATGTTACATAATTATGTGTGTGATAAGAAACCCTATCACTTACACATGATTATATGTGTGGGTAATTCAAAGGGATAATTTGAGTTTGCACCCCATTTTATTGTCGAAATTAGACTTTGCACCCCGTTTTTGAAATCCTTAGTATTTGCACCCTAACCCCGTATGAAAAGACAAGAATGCCTCTCGATCAGAAATATGTTGAAGGCCAACAAAATTGTTAACTGAAGGGCATTTTAGTCTTTTCATACGGGGTTGGAGTGCAAATACTAAAGATTTCAAAAATGGGGTGCAGAGTCTAATTTCAACAATAAAATGAGATGCAAACTCAAAATATCCCTTAATTCAAATTACAAATATTCCGCCTCGACAACCATAATTAAAAAAGCATTCCCTCAGATGCCAAAATAATTGGCGCCAACGTTAAAAAGTAGAGGGAAATTTTCCCACTTAATTTAAATCTCCTATATATATTTTACCCACACATACATTGTGTGTCTAATTCAAACTGTTTTCGTTTATTAATTACCTACACATAGTTAAATTATGTGTAGCTAAATAGCTACACATCATTTGTGTAGCTATTTTATGTGTGGGAAAATCATATAATTTCTTGTAGTGTTAGCTTAGTCTTCGTGCCAGAGTTCCACATTGCTTCTACCAGAGTTGCTCCCAGAGTTGCTCCCAGAGTTGCTCAACAGAGAAGCCATCAGAAACTGGTCATCAGTGTTGATACCAGAGTTGGCAACAGAGGCAGACTTCAGAGATTGAACCAGAGAGCCTCATAAGACTCTGCTAAACACACCAGATTCCGAAAGCACTTTCCAACGGTCGATAAACTAACGGGAAATCCCCTAACGGTTACGAACCTTTCAACGGAAACATGGTACTGTACACACATTAAATGCACATTTAATGATGTACGTACGAAGAGATATTTAAAGCTGATGATTGACCATGCGGGTATCTTCACGCCCCCAAAATAGCAAGTCGAAGGTCCAACCGGTCAAGTCAACAGTACAAGCATTTAATGAAGCTGTCTTCTACACTCCAACGGGAAGACTGCTCCTAGTATATAAGATACACTCTGAAAAACTAAGAGAATAACTTTGCTACAACATCTGCAAAACGAACTTGCTCAAAGCCTTCTTGAGATTCAAACTTCATTCTTAACAAGAAAAGACTACAGTTGGAAGATACATTTTCTAATCCCTCATCCAACTAGCAAGTTGCAAAGTTACTCAGTTCTTCAACACTTCGAAAACTTCATCTACTCATCCTTTGTGAAGAAGCAACGTTGGAGAAAACTGATTTTGAATCAAACACTTCTTGAAAAAGAAGGGACGTCTCAAATTAGCTGGAGTAAGTGAAGTGGGGATACTTCGAGAGACTCAGTGAAACGAGACCAGCCATCAGGAAGCAGGACTGCATCCCGGGTAGCAACTAGACTTGAAGAAGACGAGGAGTGCTTCTTAAGTTCTAGGGACTAAGGCGTTGTAAACTGTTGTTTTTGCAAGCTTAGTGGAACAGTGGACTAGAGGAACAAGTTGTTCCTTGAACCACTATAAAAACCCCGGTGTCATTTACTTTAAGCTTTTAATTCCCGCACTTAAGATTCTACTGATTAACTCTTAAGGTTGGGCTCTGTGTCCAACAGATCTTCCTTCAGAGTTATCAGAAAGGCACTTTGCCTTAGCTTTTTCCTTTGAGGCTACCCGAACAGAAACTTATCCGCTGCCTGGTCTAGTTCTGCCATCAGAACCTGACCATCTCTGTCACCAGATTTCGACCATCTCTGATAAGTCAGTTTTGACTTAGAGAAAAGTTTAAATTCATGAACAGTCTATTCACCCCCCCCCCCCCCCTCTAGACTGTTCCCATTACAAACGGGACCAACACAACACCGGCACGAATCTCCCCCTTCCATCACATCTTCCATAGAACCTTGTACGAATCCTCTGCACCGACCACGAACCCAAGAGCCTAGCACTTCACCTTCCAGGATTTCCGTTTCGCACCAGACCAGTAGCCATCACCTTTACGTCACCACCTCAAAAATCCCTGGACTCCAGCCGCCATCAGTGATGGCGTGAATCCAGCTCGGCCGGATTTCCTTTGCAGCGGCGTATGAAGCTCAGCAGTTCCAACGGTTCAGCATCATCAAACCAATAAACAAAATACCAACAAACCAAGAACATCCCACAAAAGTGGAAGATTTTCCAAAAATTCGTATAGAACAATAAAGAAACCCAGCCCACCGGAGCCAGGAGGGCCCCGGCGGCGGCGACCACTGTGAGTGGCGTCGCCGAGACGCACCGAGGGGAAGAAAGAGCAACCTAGGATCGGATTTCTAGTGAGAGACGCTCTCAATTCTCTCTAGAACCTCGAAATCGGGCGCTGGTTTCAAAGTGATGAACCTACTGGTTTTGGTAAAAGTGATGGATCAAAAGATTCGCCATGAGAAGTCCAATTGTAATAATTGTCAGCGAAACATTTTTTCGTACAAATCCCACACAACATCGTCGGGGTCTTTAAATTTGAGATTTTTACACTTGATACATGGACATCTGATTCTATCACCATCCATATGATCCTTATGCTCAAGTGCAAATTTAAAAAACTCTGTAATTCCTTCAAAATATTGAGGTTGCATTCCTCTTTTTTCGATATGATCCAACTTCTATTTTGTTGATACATAATGCCTGAATATTATAATATTTTTTTTTTAATTTAATATTATAAAAACTACAAATTATAAACATTAATTAATCATAACTAAAAGCAATATGTTTGTGAAATTAATCATTTCAATTAACTAACTAGTGAATCATAACTAATTAACATTTACGAACATTAATATATTACATTTCACTAAAGTTCATTAAATTTAATCATTAATCATTTAAATTACTAACTAATTACACACTAATCATTTAAATTACTAACTAATTCACAATATTTAGAAAAATTAATATATTAAATTTCACTGTAACATTAATTAACTAACAGTCAATTAATGTTATTAATAATTAACTAAAACCAAAACATCAATTGCATTAATCATTTAAATTAATAACTAATTCACAATATTAGGATTTTAACACTAATACACACTAAATTATTACGTTAATGGCATTACTTCAGAATACTAAAATAAATTGCCGGATGTAAATAAATTTTGGCCGGAGTAAATTGCCGGTCACGGGAGGATTTTTTTCAGGGATTTTGTTACGGATTTTTCCGTGACAAATATTTCCGTGACTATTCCGTGACAAAGTCCGTGACAACTTTGTCACGGCCCGAATCCATGACGAAAATTCATGACAAACGGACTGTTTTTTTAAAGTGTATGTTTAAGATGTTCGTTGTTGATATACCATTATACTGAAAGTTCAATCGTTTCCTTAAAATTATAAAAGTGACTTAATATGCATGTTGTTTGAATTTTTTTAGTTTTTTTATTAATTTTTTTAATTTACAATTAGGAATTGAAGTTAATCAAGTAAATATGATGTATGCAGTTAGATCATTTTAATGATGTCACAGAAATGACGATTGTTGATTTTGAGCGTTCACTTTTGATTGTGCATAAGTACGCCTATATAACTACATTCATAAGTAATTTACTTTTGGCGAGATTATATTGTTTCACGAACAAAGTAGTTCTAAGTTTAAGTTCAAATACTTAGATGATATATGCCACTTAAATTATTCACAATGTAAGCATATTGATGATGTTTTCTTTTAGATTGTGTTCGGTCCTAGACCAGATCAGATCTCCATAGTTAGAAAATACACAGGACCTGACATTTACCAAACTAGACTAGACCAGATCAATCTAGAACAGACCACAACAAACCAAATTAGCAAATTTCAATCCAAAATAAATCATCTTCATTAGAGAGAGAAAATTGAATGCACAAATTTGAGAGTAATTCAATTTATTCTCATATTCCTATTGCATGCATATCATTAGAAGGTATGAGTTACGTACATAATATTACGGAGAACAAAAAAGTAACAAAAATATGATTTGTATTTAATTTGACGATAGTACTCCTAATATACCTCGGATACTTTATATTTTATCATCACTATTTTGAGTTTATCAAATCTAAGATCTCAATAAGCTAAGAAATTCTTATGGGAGATTGTACAACTTTGAAGTTTATACATCCTATTTATTTTTCTTATCCTAAATATAATGCATGTACATTTATTATAAACTGTGAATTTTATAATTATTTTATGCATTGCTCTAATACTCGCTAGGCATTAAGCAGTCAACTAGGCTGATTTTTTGGCTGACTAGGTCCATTTTATGATCGACTAGGCTGATTAGTCCTTTACAATGAGGGCCGACTAGACCAACTAGCACTACAACAAAATAGACCGTATGTAACATGGAAAACATGTTACATAAGATTGTTAAAATATTACAAAAGGCTTATGCAACACTTTTGAGAGCGTTACTTCAGGTCTCGTTGCATAAAGTCATACGCAACATTTTTCATCATCTTAAGCAACATTAAAAATAAATGTTGCATAAATAACTCAATTGTAACACTTTGTTGCAACACTTCAACCAATATCTTACGTAACAGTTTTCTAATGAAGCGCAACACTTGAATTAAGACTTTATGCAACACTCCCTTGTATTAAGGCAACATATTTATTCTGCACTTATGCAACACTATATGTATATTATGTAACATTTCATTGATGATTTATGCAACATTTTTATTGAAAATGGCAACAATTTTATATAATTATAAGCAACACACTTTATAAGATTTTACGACATAAATTACGATGATATACCAAGACCTCTAATACATTAGTACTTATACAATCAAAATCATATGAATTTTAAAAAGTATCCAACAACATGTCCTGTTTAAAAATAACATAAATTTGACAACAATAAGCATCACAATTTTTTCCTCCTTTAACGTAACACCAAAATATCCATCAACTACAACTCTCTTTCTTCAATCTTCTTTGATTTAAAGAACTTCAATGTGGTAACATCATTGGTGCATCACAATCTTCCCTCAAGGCTTAAACTCTCATCAGTATTAATTGTTTGCCTGCAAGTGAGGAGAGAGTGTCATATAATTATCAAATTAAGACCAATAGTGATATATAATTAGCACAATTAATACTGGTTTAAAAAATTAATGGTTTTAAAGCCTATTATTTAGTGAGATGGCAGCAATATCTCGCGATAGCAAATCTGATAGAAGCATATTAATTCTATGCAGTCCACATTTGACAAGTTAAAAACTTGTTCATGTAAAAATGGCTTAAATTAATACCGTAAACAAACTACCTGATGCATGAAACGTTTACACTTCACGGAACACCAAAGGCTATCTCAATTTGTATGTGATAGTACCTAAACAAAGCATTAGGTCAGATTAGAATTAAAATATAAAAGTAAGTAAACTGTTTAATTTTAAACAATTAAAGAAAAAGTTGTGCTTTAGGGTACATCTTTTGAACCTTTGTCTGAAAGTGGAAACATCAGTTTCTCTCATGGACGATTGATAAGCCATGGTTTAGTATATTCTGCAACATTCATCGGTAAAATAATGTTGAGAATCAAGTCCTCAACAAAATAAATTTGAGGCATTAAGCATGAGAAAATAAGAAAATAGAAAAGGAATTAATCATGAAACAATAAAAAAATCTGCAATTGAAGTTAACAATTGTATGATTCTAAGCTGCCTTCACAAGATCATGGTCATTGTTTACCATTTTTCACATGATTCCATTGTTATAAACACAACTCATTAACCGTGAAAAGGAAAATTCAGCCTTACTAGCTCACTCCTTTTAATGTTGCTCATTCAAATGACAATCTAATGCTGCTTTTTGTGTCATTTCACACATTCTGGAAAAGAGCTTCAGTTTTTACAGAGGTATTCAAGACTAGGATTAAAAATTGAAAAACTCATTGAGACAATTTTACAAGCACCTTAAAGGCACTATAAAATTTAGAATCTCAGAAATGGATATTTTCACACTCCATCTCAAATTCAAAGTAAATCAGTAAACACTATACAAAAATATATAAACAGTTCAAACTATAAGCATATGACATATTTTATTGTCAAATATATCTCAAAAAAGCATAAGTTTTTATTTTATTTTCATTTCATTGCACAAGTTTTATTTTCTTATGTACTACCTTGCTTGTTTCAAATCTGGAGCTTAGATGTTTAGTAATAGCAATTGTTTTAAGGCCATCATGTCTATAGAGGCTAGAATATGGTAGATGTAATATACTTGAACTCTAGGATATTACCTGAACAAATTGACAGATGGACAAAACGGCCCTTCAAATTTATCCCATCAAGATTCACTGATCAAAACAGATGCACACTATGATCATTGGGAGTGGGCACTAGATATAAAAGAAGAGAAAAGTAAACTACATATATGCAGTCCAGATTGAAAGTAGAGTAAGAGTGTATATCACTTTGGATTACATGTGAATTTCCTAAACTCTTAAATAACAAAGTATGTGATATTTATAAAAATATACCTCTAGAGCCTGTAAAAGTAAAATTGTTGGACTATATTTACTAGTCATGGTAGCAAATGTGTAGAAGGAATCATTTCATTGAAATGAGTGATGCACTCAAGCTTCTTCTTGGTTGTGTACATGAGGTAACCCTGCATGTAAATTAAGTGTGTTATACATTTTTCTCACTACGAAAAAAGAACTTGACTTTTAGCAGGCGGGACTCCGGACTTAAGAGGATGATTTAGAATTGAAAAGGCTATTGAGGAATTATTACAAACACCTTGAAGGCATGGTAGAACTAGGAACTTTAAAACCGAAACTTTTAACACTCCATCTCAAATTTATAGCGACTGAATCAACAAAACTAAGCAAAAACAAATACAAAACCGAACTCTGAGTTTACTAAATTTGTCAATGTTAAATATATATCGTGGAAGAGATGTACCTGAAAATAGAAGTCGCCCTAGGCAATGGAGAGCGGGGCTGGTTGATGGACGCCTCGTGACTTCCAAGAATAAGCGTACTCCACAGAATAGGACAATCTCGACCGGCATCGCTAGCCCGCTGCATCCCAGATGACCTAACAGCTTTGATTCATAAAAAATCTCCCAGAATTTCGATGGTAGCAAATGTGTAGAAGGAATCATTTCATTGAAATGAGTGATGCACTCAAGCTTCTTCTTGGTTGTGTACATGAGGTAACCCTACAAAATAAAAAACGTTGCAAAAGAATTGGGTCTTTGGAAGAGTCTAGAGGCTATAACAGAAATGAGAGAGGGAATGCGGAAGGGGAATTGCTTCCTGGAGATTGGAGGGCAATTAGGAGCGGCGTTTATTCAAGAGTGTTTGCCGTTGCTTTTTTTATTTAAGAGGGTAATTTTTCAAAGTAATTTAGAATTTGGAATAAGTTGGTAGTACGTACTACTTAGTACTTCCTCCGTCCCCTTTTAATTGTAACAATCAATATTTCATGTTTGTCAACACATAAGTTTGATCATTAATATCTTTCATTTCCTATAAGTAAAAAGTTTAAAAAATTCATATTTTGAAAATTTAGAATGAAAAGAATTTAACAATATTTTTTAAAAATTTAATTTATAATACATTAATTAATGAAATATAATCAAAGTAGAATATGTGAATAGTGCAAAAAATCCAATGTTGTAATTAAAAGAGAACGTAGGTATTATATAGCAAGAGATGTGTTTTTTGTGTACTAGAAAAAATGTAGTTTGTTTTTATTTGGACTGTTTTGAGTCCCAAATCTGAACATGTCAAATCAGATCAGACTTAAACAAATTAGATCAAACCAAACTTAAACAGATCAGATGAGGCCGAACTTCTAAAGTTATAAAATACACAGAGGTTATACAATTACCAGGCTAGACCAGACCAGTTTAGGCTATAGATCACACCAGACCAGAAAATGTTAATCCAATTCAAAACATTCTAAAGCATTCCTACACCTATTTTCAACTCTTAGCATTTAAATGTTTAATTTAAACAAAGTTGTCACATGAAAACACTTATTTAACTTTTTAAGCCAAAAGCTGAAAAAATATTTTTTTACTTTTTTGTAAACCCTCTCTGAAATGTGCTAGGTATGGTTTGCTTTTTGTTAGTTATAATAACATTCTAGAAATGGGTGTTACATAATATTGAATCTTATGCAACACTTTATACTAAATGTTGCATAATTAAATAATTTAGATTTTTATGTAACATATAAAAATAAGTGATGCAAAATGTTAACTCCTAGTGACATATGTAACAAAAAAATAAGCGTTGCAATCAAAGTGTTACGAAATGTCCATTTTGTTGTAGTGTAGGTCGATTAATCGGTCCGACTAGGCCGATTTTTAGAACAATGTTGTTACGTAAAGTATACCAATATGGAGAAATATGTTTTATATTTAAGTTCTGAGAATCACACAATGTGTATTATCTAATCATAATTTCGGAGTATATTATAATTGAGCAGTACTATTTCAATTCTTTAACAACTGAAGGTGAAAGTTTTTTCAGGTAGAGGGGCTGCAGCCCCCTGTGATTTAAAAAATACGTCAAACCCCATGTATTTTAATTAATCATGAGCAAAATCCCTACTATGAACAAACTTAATTGTCAAATACAATAAAAATGATTGACATTATTGTATGATTTAGAGATTGATATATTTACTTACATATTCAATCCGAATATTAGAAAAGGTGATTTTCAAATCGTTAAATTTATTCATAAAAGGGGTTTGTGCTTGATTAATTAAAGCACAAGAGGGTGGACTATTCTCCTGTTGTTTGTGTGAAGACGAAGCTGAAAGTTCTATACATGTTTTGGGCCAATGTTGAGTATCTATCTGGTTATCCAAATTGAAGTTGCAGCTTTGGAATTCTTTGAATCGGAGTTTCCGGGGAGGAGAGCTCATTTGTGGGATAAATAGAGTTTGTTTCGAAGTCAGGTGCTGAAATTTGCATCATTGTTACGATGTTATGAGGTCTTTAATTGGAAGGAAATAAATTATATTTATGGAATTAGTGGAGAATCAAGGAGGTTTGGGAGGTCAAGTGTTCCTGCTAATTTAAATCTTGAGATTTAGTATTAATACTTGTGATAAAATTATGAGAAATGTATAGTAAACGACTACTGAATGGTGATCAACCGATTCCTTGAAGTTAAATATGTTGTTGTCACCATCTCACTTTCTTTGGAAAGTGACATTGATTATTTGTTGGTGGCATGCATTATCTTAGTCTAGATTTGAGGTCAATGATATGATAAGATTTCTAATATGTATGGTGAGCTGAACTTAATAGATTGGAAACTCTTACCCTGAATAAAAATTCATACATAGTATATTCATTGTTTTGTTTACCAAGGAAAATTAGTTGGTGTAGTTCTTGCACAAATTAAAAAAACAAGTTTGGGAGTGATTTGTTTAAATATTTATTCATGATCACTAACATCATGGGATATTCTTGTAAAAGAAAAGGTGAGTTTTGACAAAAGCAATATATAATCATAATAGAGATTTTACAAAAAGGTGAACTTATAATCACTAGAGAATTATATCGGGAAAGTAGTTTAGCTCGACCCAGTGCTTCACATTGAGATTCACATCATACGACCATTGCTCTTTGAATGTGTTATCTTACCATCTAAGTTCTTAACAATATATTTGATGATGGGAGTGATTTAAAATCAAGGGACATTGAAAGTACCTTGGTACCAACGATGCAAAACAATAAAAAAATAAATTAGTGTTCACACGATTAAGAAAGCTTAGGGATTGATGAACAAATTGTCACAATTCTTATAATAAAAATATCAAAATATTCTCGAGGCAATGAATTTGCGTAAGAGCAAAGGACTAATGATAAATTTCAAGATTTGAGAGAAAATGGATGAGAATAAATTGAGTATTGTCTGACGTTAATAGTGAAGTTTGTTAAAGGATGACTAAGCTTAAATTAGAGCTCACAATTCTTTTCAATATTATCAATGTTGATCTTCACAATAAGTTATGAGATGAATTTCTTACGAATCATTTAGTATGCTCAATCCAGAGAGATATTTTAGTAGTATTATGGAACATTTTCAAAATATGAGAATTTTACTAAGATTATCCATCTTCTCTTGTTGATCGGTCCTACTAAGATCGACTCATATCAAATTTGGCATAATTTGTGTGGTTCTTAATTATTTTTTACTTTTATTCTTACTTTATTAAAATACTTGCTACATTATATTAGAGCATTTAGTATAATTATTCATTCTTAATTTGTCATGTCTCATTGTTGGTGGAGGTAGTATAATTTATACGTACTACTAATTACTTTCTTTTTACTATTTGTACTATATTTGGAGTTATTATATTTCATATTGTATAATTGTCAAGTGTGTCCTTCCTGTCATAAATCTCTGGATCCACCAGTGACTGTATCAATGCAGTGGTGCATGCAAGCTTAGCTTGTACCGGCGGGATCAAGTTAAATGTTGACGCAACATAAAAAGGTACCAACGTTACCGGGCTCGAGTCATATTTCAGGAATAAAATAATGATACACCTATTCAAAAAAGTTGTTATTATTTTATTTCTATTTGAAATTTTCTCTTTATTTATATCTATAGTGCTTAAGTTAGTTTTATGAACTATATAATGGTAAGTGGTGAAACATATAATGGTAAAAAAAATCATCAAAATTGAACACGACATTAATTCATTATCAGTAGTCCTTCCGTATTCAAATGTTTCCTACACTTTCTTTTTGGGATGTATTTTAATTTTTGCCTCATTTCCCCTTTTTAATAAACTTTCTGTTTAAAAAATATTTGATTACTCTTACTTTTTCTAGTTTTTTCGCTATATCATATTTTTCACGTCTCTCCTACTTTTCTACATTATTCACACTCCAACTACTTTTCTCTTACACATTTTGTCAAACTCTATTGTAGCAAACATTTCAATACAAATGAAGTATGCAGTAAAAAAATAGTACTACGTAACTAATAGTTTTATTATATCACTATTAAAGCTTACTTTTATATTTCATTTGACATGTAATAATTTAATTTCTTGTGATAAAATCCGAACGCAACATGAAACGACATTTCATCAATAACGTACTATTACCATATCAAAATTTTGTAAGCTAAGGTACTGTTTTTTTGTATACTAAAAGTTTTGTTGTAGTAAAAATATGAAATAAAATATCCAATATATCGTATCAAACCACTCATAAGTACCAAGTATACTTTTTTGCTATTATGGATGAAGATATTTTGGGAAATAAGGCTTAGCCTTTTGATAGCTATAGCCACGTATTTATATAAGTTAGGGAGCATGTTTAGCTCTCCTATTTACAAGGAATACAAGTACAGTATAGATAAGTACAAGTAAATATTAAAGAGATAATTACAAATGATGAATAAATAATATTAATCTATCATGCTCCCGCAAGCGAGAGTGGGCCGGAACGGACGCCAAGCTTGGACCGATGGGATAAAAAATGGTGACGAGCAAGTGGCTTGGTGAGAGAATCAGTAAGTTGATCGTGTGTATTAACGTGAGTTACACGAAGGTGATCATTGGCAATTTGTTCACGCACAAAATGAAAGTCAATAGCCACGTGCTTCATACGAGAGTGGAAAACAGGATTAGCACAAACATAAGTGGCACTCAGATTATCACAATAAACTGTGGGTGACTGTTGGACTGGAATGTGAAGTTCTTGGAGAAGATGGCGAATCCACATAAGTTCGGCGGTGGCAGAAGCTATGGCACGGTATTCGGCCTCGGTGGATGAGCGAGCATGTATTTATATAAGTTAGGGAGCATGTTTAGCTCTCCTATTTACAAGGAATACAAATACATTATAGATAAGTACAAGTAAATATTAAAGATAATTACAAATAATGAATAAATAATATTAATCTATCAATGGAAAGTAATACTTTTGTTCAATCTCTTGATTTTGGTTGTCACGCCCCGGACCTAGCCGGACACGTCAACAACCCGCCGTACATTACGAATAGTCAACCGTAGTCCAACTCATCCATACTATACAAGGCGTCATGAATATCATTCACACATAGTACATCCATAAACAAACATAATGTAAAACATTCATTCAAAACAGCGGAAGCATTTAATAGAAGTGTCTTAGCCACACTTTGGCAAACGTGGGCATGCAAGCCCCCAAATAGTTATTCAAAATAATATCCATGAGCACTATTATAATTGTTTTGAAAACAGGAAACAGAAGAAGCACGAACCACGTCTTCTCCTTTGAATATCCCCGAAGCAACGGGCGCCGGTAGCAACCTTCAAGTTCTACCTGAAACTGTGAGGTGGCCTCCCCCGTGAAGGGGAGGTCAGTACTTGGAAATATTTGACAAGTACAATAGCAACTATACTAAGTATAATCAACGTTTTAACTTCCAAGACCCTCAAAATAGGGTGATATCATAATATAAATAACAATTTATATTTCCCACTTATTATCTTTGTAACATGTGAATTTTATTCATTTGTCGGCACACGGCCCTTCTTATATGTTCCTTTTCATTTAGCATTTGCACAACCCAACCCTTGGGTCTTATTATTTCTACGGGACTTGCTACCGCTGTCCGAGACCTCATGAGGCTCCCGGTTCGGACTCCAACATCCCGCCCCTGGACTCGTACCCATCATCCCGTAGGAAGGTAAGGCCCTTCGGGGTCCTATCTTATGTGTTACCGCTACCGGAACCTAGTTAGGTCTCCGATTCGGATTCCACCCTAACCCGTGATCACGATGTAAGTCCATGCTATCCAACCCCGCTCTCTAGAGTCGGGAAGGGCCATGGTCCTTACTATTTCTATAATTCAACCGGCTATCCATAAGGACTACCGAACACACCCGTAGGCCAATCCTATACTTAGGATCAATTTATTATTTACTTTATCTTGGGTATCCCTTAAGGCCTACCCCTAGTATAACTTAGAGTTCATACGTTCCTACCTTAAAGCATCTCTTAAGACTACTCAAGGCATAACATTTCACAATCCAACCTTAGGATCAATCTTAACAACATTTCATTTTAATGTCCAACTAGTATCTTAATACTAGTCAATTTAATATCAACAAACCCAGTTCTCAACTCATAGTCCTATAGACAATTCCAACTGATTTTCCTTTGAAAATATCATTTATCTCAATATTCAAAATATCACTTTTAATCACTCATATTATCTAATATGGAGAAAAAAGTATATTTCAACATATGTTTCATAATAAATTCCACATTCAAGTCAACATACTCACAACACATGAACATACACAATTTATTCTTAAATTTGTATATCATGCTCCTTTTTCTTTAGACATTTAGTCTTTTCATTTTTAGGCATTATTAATCATTAATAATCCATAAAAAAACACATTTAATTACCTTCGGTAATCTCATGAAATTAACTCACTAATTATAAGCAATATAGTCAGCCATCCTCACCTTATGAAGTGCTGAAATAGTTGCCTTTGTTAAACCCTATGATCAATACTCGTTCCAAATCGAGAAGAAGATGAAATTGGGCTGTCTGGGCAAAAGCCGGCCGGCTTTGGCAAAAGCCGGGCGATGTTCGTCAGCCTGCAGCACGAACAACTTCCTATATGTGGCGGTTTCCGGCGGTTTCGACTCCTATCGATTTGCCAACCCTTCTAAGTTAATTACCACCACTTTATAACAATATTCCACACTTTTAAACGTGTAGAACATCATGTTTAATCCATCATATGATTTCTTACAAATCATACATGATAAAACTAGTTAAAGAACAATAGTTATGTTCTTACCTTAAACTCAAGCTATTTCTTGTGGATTTTTCCTAGCTTCCCTCTTCTTCCAACTAGAGTTTTGCTTTCCCTTGGGCTTCTCTTGCTTTGTGCTGGCCGAATGACACAAGGTAGGGGGGAGGCATCTCCTCTCAATCAATTAGAAGAGATGCCAAGAGGGGACATGGAGCATGTTCATTTGTCTCTAGGAGACTTCCTCCCATTGATTGTGCGTACCAGCACATTTGTTTGCTCCCATCCTCTTATCACTCAGTCCATCAGCACTCCTAAAAACGTGGGGTGGCCCCCACTTATGTGGGAGGTCATCCCGTTATGTCTCGGTATGTATAATCGGTCCCGAAAGTTGTATTTCTCGGACTGTTTTAATCATATTTTTTTTATCGGGCCAAATAAAATATATCACGTGTTCCTAATAATTATGGGCCTTTAGAATAGATGTATATTCCCCAACATTAATTTAGGAGTCTCCGAAACTCTTTTCGGGTTGTTATCCGTTAAATTACCAATACCGGAAATTGGGCCCCGTTTGACCAACCGGTCAACTCCATGCCTTTCTTATGGCCCAAATAGAATATCCACCCCCATATAGATGTCATCTAGACCAAGATGAATATAATATGTGGTTCGGGAATTATCGGGCGGTCCCCGTTCCCGTTGTGGGCCCCACATGCAATTTACTATTCACGTAAAAGAATTAATAAAAATTTACAATCACGCAAATTCATAAATCATCTTTCAAGGTTTATTACATAATTTACTAAAAGTAAATATAATCGGGGTCGGAGTGAAAATGGATGATCTATGACTATTTTATTCGCAACGAATTGAGCAATTCAAACATGCAAGAAGGAGAGATTGGGAAAAATAGAAAACGTAACATTAATTTCAAACAGCATTACTAAAAAGGGGAGATTGGGAAAAATGGAAAACATAACGTTAATTTCAAACAACATTACTAAGCTAGATTCTATGGTATTTATCATACTTTTGTCCACATAAATCAATCAGAATGTTGTCGTTTAATTATTTAAATATAAATTAAATATGATATAATGATTTAGACCGATGAGCATGGGAGTTGTCACCATTGTTAATTCTTGTTCATCAGGTCCAACACTCTTCTCCAAGCAGGTCTGCCACAAATGTCCAAATACCAAGCATTCAAACTCTTCCTGCTACTAACCAAATGGCCAAAACCATCTTCGCCGCCGCTCGTCAAGAACCTGAGGGCTGGGAGGTGGCTGAGATCAGCCAAAGAGAAGAAATCTCCGGCGAGGTATTTACTCTTGGAAAGCCTTTCTTCATAAACATCAAGCACTTTGCCAAGCTTGTCGGCGCATTTCTTGACCACAGTGGGGTCGGTGGGCTGCCCCATTGTGGGGAAGATGAGCAGCTGAAGAACAATGTTGTAGACTGGGTCGTTGAAGTAGTTGGATTCCACTTGTAGCCATTGATCAACCACAGCTCTTTCTTCTTCTGTAGTTCCTATCAGGTTGCACCCTTTTTCTGCGTATTTTGTTGCATAGTATCTTATAATCGCCCTAGACTCTGATAACAAACAACAACACTCATTAATATAAACCAATTTTTTCTACATTTTTTGTAGTACACTGAAGTCAAATTTATTTTCTTAATATGTGTGAAGTCAAATCGAGATTTAATTGGAGGACGGAGGGAGTAAATGTTTAGTTGCAACCGGTCAACATCTTTCACAAAAAAATTCAGTTTCTTATAAATCATGACAGTATCTTTGTAGAACAAGTGAAGAATTGTAATTGGTTTTTGGAATTATATTATATCACCAAAAAGCTTGAATTCTCCATCCTCAATTGCTGGAACCTGTCCGAAGGGCTGCAAGAGAATAATATAATATGTCATTCGTATAGAGAAAACAGAGAAAGAATATTTTATGTATTGAGTTCTGTAGGGAAATTATAAGCATAAATATAAAAAGCTCACAAAGAGGGCCTATTTAGAAATCAACACAACAAAAAAGAAATTAATACTTCGTACATTTATACAAGAATGCTGCTCACAAATACTATTGAATAGGTTTATATGAATTTCCCTCTTTCTATAAAATGCATAGTACTTCATGCATCAAATGTGTGATGTAACACAAATATATTCAAAAGTAGGGGTGACCGTATTGGTTTGGTTTAACGTAACCGAGACGAATTGTAACAAACCGAATTAAACCAAACCATATGCAATTCGGTTTGAGTTTGATAGTATTTCTTTCAAACCGCATTAAAACGAATCGAACTAGAACCGAGAAAATTCGAATAAAACCAAATCCAACTAAGAAGTTCAATAAAACTTTCATATGTGATTAAAAAATAACAAATCCAAACCGAATCAAAGCTAACTAAACCGAACCAAACTGGTGAACTAAGCCGAACCAAACCAAACGAAAATGGTATGGGCTTTGTTTGGTAATAATTCTTCAAATCCATTTCAAATTGAACCAAACCAAAAAAATCGAACTAAAAACCGATATGCATACCCCTACTCAAAATAATGTGTACTTTTTTCAATTCCCTCCTAATCTCATATTTAAAATTTCTATTTTCATTTTGGGATGTCTTTAACTAAAGTTCCATTTCTTTATTTAATCAAGACAACTTTATCAATTTACTCTTCTACCTCATGTAGGAGTAATTATACAATGTCACCGTGATACACATACTGTACAATAATATTTACCCATTGTGTAATTTAAATTTTGAAAGTCAAAGAATAAACCAATTTCCAAGCCTGAATGGACACGTGAAGATCAAATCAATTAGGATGTCCATTAAGGGAGGCATGTAGTATTAAATTATACCCCGTATATGGGCTAAACATAGGTTATGAATCAAATGAATGTGCTCATTACAATCAAACTTAAACAAGACTGAAGTTCCTATAAATACTGCGTACTCTATTAATTAAGACTTGGATTATGTACTAAAAGGTGTACTTTTGGAAAAAATGTTCATTATTTTAAATCTATTGATTTGTATCTTTATATATATGGCCAATGTTGGATGGTTTAACATGCTTCTCCAAGATGGCAATGTGCAAACTAATCTTGAAGTTCAAGTACGCGCTGTTGAGTATTAGGCATATCAATTGCTCATTTGAGTTTGAGTGACTCTCTACCGTATAAAGACTTGAAATTTCGTCCTAAAAGGTCGACTTTAATATGTAGTACGGAGTACTAAATAGGACTAAATGTGATTTGTTTCTAAATTAGACTTATGTAGTGCTAAGAAAATAACAAGAGCCATTAAAACTTCAACTGTTAACAATGGTGATTGATCTTGTTTGAGAAAATGTATTTTATTTTAGTACTCCTACTATTTCTAAAAATCTAATAAGAATGTGAGTTACTTGGGCCAGTTACTTTTGGCTGTAACGTTAGGATGTTATCATTATTGATCTTGTAACTTTAATTTCCAAGTGAGAGGAAGTATGGAAAAGAAATGAATTTGGCAGCTACATACCTGGCGAAGTAGAAACTCTGGAGTTTTCTGCTCAAAGGAGTTAAGGTCAACATGGATAAGCTCAAACTCCACCCCCAGTTCAAACAGGCAAGCCATCACCCTTTGCGGGCATGCCGCTACTGCTGAACCATACACCTTTACTACCATTATTATTATGTTTATTTGTCTTGCCTATCTAGCTACCCAACCACTTGTATATATATAGCTAATTAAGTGCTTGTTAGAGGAATGTATTAATTAATCAACCGTGATTCGTATATACGCGTGTCTTTCATGCCGGTCAAATTGTCTATGTACAGACAAAATTTTTCTCAATGCGAAAAACAATTTCCTTTACAAAATTTTTTCTCGATGCCTAAAAAGAACATCTTTCTATAGACTATAGAGATGGAAGATGATAATTGGTTGACTATTTGGTGGTTGGCACACGAACTCGAACCAGCCGGTAGCTGGCTAGCTTCTGCTGCCTTGTGGTGGGCCCCATGGGTGTTCACTTACCAAGTGATGTGGCCGTCTGGGGATCACATACTTGGAGGCTACCTACCTAGCTTCTTGGTAAAATGGACACAACATAAAATTTAAGGTCAAACTTTTTGAGTGTAGATTTCTATTTTAGATTAGGTGACAACTCTGATACCTTTCTAAAAATGGGGTATCGGACCTTTGATTGGACGACATTACATTATCATTTTTAATTTAGATTTAAATAATTCAACTACTACATTTTCATTGGTCCATGTGGACAAAAGTATGGTACCTTATAGGTACCATAAAATCTACCTTTAGATTATTCACATGGGAGCAAATTGTAAACATAGTGGTCCCACTTTTGAGTATGGTCTTAATTGTAGGACCTAAAGAAAAGAGAGTCCTAAAATGACCTTATATGTAAGCTAAATGGAAAAAAGGAATTGAAGTTAAAGACAAACGAAATGTTACAATTAAGACATTATTATAATAAGGTCATATTTGCATTAACAATGCATATGCATGGTCATCATCAATCGACCATGTTACTCCCTCCGTCCCATTGAATTTTGATCTTCCCACTTTTCTTTTTGAGTCGTCCTAAACAATTCTTCTCACTTACCATTTTTGGACAATTTGTGTGGTTCACATTCATTTCATCTTTTTCTTACACAATCACAACCCTGCATTTCCATTTTTTTAATCTTCGTGTCAAGTCAAAGTGGGAAAAATTTTATGAGACGGAAATTGTCTTAATCAAATTCAAATCGTCATTTTCAAACAGTCATTTTGATCGGTATAAAAAGACATACAAACAGGTAGAAGAGGACTTGTAAATTAAAGATGAAACAGGTTGGAATATCTAGAATTTCGAGATGATTGTTGTTATGACATTCTTGTTACAATCCTAGCAACTCACTGCTCGTAAATTCGATACATGGGAGTAATTTGCTAGTATGACCTTATTAAAAGGCCGTTTGGTAACATTGTTTTTCGGCTTATCAGTCAACTTTTTCATCAAACACGTAATTTTTGCCTTTGCGCGCTGAATTGTGTAATAAACAGAAAAAGTAATGTTGTAGTTACTTTTCTGGCTGTATTGGCTGATGTTACTGTAGATGACCATTTTAGCTATTTTTACATATAATTTTTTCTTTATTTTATTAATAAAATATATTTTAAAAGTATTTTTTTTAATCAGCAGAATCAGCCAATGCAGTCACTTCAGCCAGAACTTCATAAATTTCAGCAGAACCAGCCAAATCAACCGATTTTCGTGCTACTAAACGGGGTGAAACAAAAGAAATTACTCTAAGTAGGACTAAAACTATGGCAAAAACTCAAAATATGACTTACTATGTTTTTCTTTTCAAAATAGAACCATATTAGTCCTATTGGAAACATATCTATTTTTTCATTCCATTCTTACCCTTCCTTTAAATATGAGTTAATTAAATGTTTAATTCATAATACATTCGAAAACAATTCAAAAATTCGTAGAAAAATAATTAAAAAAATTATAAAATATTTATAGAACAAAAAATTTATAACAAGAATTTTTTAAATTTTTTTATTTTTTTTAATTAATAAAAAATAGTAAAACTCCATAAAAAAATATGGATGTCTTTCCCACCACCTGTACTACCTCCTTGCACCACCATCTCCGGGCGGTGAAAAAAATGTCATTTTTCCTAAAAACTGCCTTTTTTAAATACCAAAAACATGACATATTTATCTTTTACAATGCTAACATTTTCATTATTTTCTGCCATAAATATGGCATTCGTAATGAACTTGGCATTTTTTTCCCCTGGTGACTGGAGGTGGTGGTGCAGAGGCGGCAGAGGCGACGGTGAATTTTATTTTATTTTTTTGAGTTTTTTATTTTTTTACTTTTTTTTTATTTTTTTTAAAATAAATAAATAAATAAATTATTATTATCGAAATATTTTTATTAATTTTTTAGTATTTTTTACAATTTTTTATTATTTTTTAGTATCTTATTATGAATTAAAACATTTCCATAGCTATAAGGTTATATTTGTTCAAGACACACATAATTAGTCCTATGAAAACATAATTTATTTTTTGGTCCTATTTGTGCAAAGTGAGTGACTTTTAGTCCTATTTTGATAATTAACCCTTGAAACAATGATGAAGCATACAAATTGTGTCCACAAAGAGGCTATTTTGAATTCAACTACTGGTGAGAATCATACAAGAACAAACTTGAATTGACAAGATTAGATTCGAGTTTTCATTGTTTTTTGTTCGGGAACAACATATCTCTCAAGTTTGCTACTTATTTTAATACTTCGATTCATGACATGAACGGAGTAGTTCTTACCGTGTCAATTCTATTATTATTCTTCAATTATAATTTGTGGATAGTTTTATTTATAAATTTAGGAGTGGTGAAGGAGTATTCTTTTCAGGGCCGATCCTAACAAATCAGGGGCCTGTGCAACAATGAAATTTGGGCCCTTTGTTTAATGAAGTAAAAAACATAATACACTGTACACTATATTAGTAACAAATGACTAATACTTTATGTCAAATTACAAGTTACTAATTAACTAATTAAAACAGTCAAAATAAATGTATTCGTTAATAAAATACACTTTATTTTAAAGGAGATATTCTATGAACATATTTTAAATGAGTTATAATCAATGTCTTATAGGCTCAAGACGACAAGGCTAAGTCTTTCAAGCCTAGGCGAGGTTGAGACGTGAATAGACGTTTTGTCTATACACTTTATTTTAATTTTTGTAGAAATTTTTTAGATATGCAAGTCAAATTTTAAAGATTATCTTACAAAAAATCAATTTTTTCTAATTTCCAAGAGAATTAGATTTCCAGATTCCTTATAAATATGACAAATATAATATCATGATCGTTTAATTCTAAAAATTGAATATATGTTATTATGATTAAAGTGACTATCGTCACGATATTAAAAGGTCACATTTTTATAAATATGGAGTAGCTTTTTATCATAAATTTGTATACGTTTTTAATAGTAATACTTGGTCAATATTGTGAGCATATTTGCCCGTATTTTCAATTTTACATTTTAAATACAAAATTAGAGCAAGAACACAATACTTTTCTATTTTAAAATTCTTATAGACATATTAAATGGAAGTACTTTATAACATTTTCGTATATGAAGCAAACCTGAAGTTGTTAGAACTAGCAATGGGCGGTGTGGGCCTTGCTGTTGAGTGGTAAGTTATGATCTGAGAAGTCTAAAAGACCACGAAAATCCCAAAAAAAATACCCCGTAACATAAGGATTTTTGTTCCTTGGTCTTCATTTGGTTTCCCACACCTATTAGAGAGAAAAGTTTCTTAGCACTATTCTTTTATAAATAAGCCTTCTCCCTTTGAAATTCTTATATCTCAGGAGGCTAGCAGCCTATCTAAATCGCAGCAACTGTTTTTTGGGCCGCCAAGTTGTTTTATAAACACGTCACCAAGTCACCGAAAGGCCCACTTTGGAGGCCTGTTTCAACATTTTCGAACACTGGTTATACTAATTGTAGACTAAATAATTTTTTTTGGGCCTTTATTTTTTTGGGCCCTGTGCGGTCGAACTGCCTACACATGCTCTGGGCCGGCCCTGATTCTTTTGATTTAGAGTTCTATGCTTATGAGTTTTACCTAAATTGTGACGTAAATGATTTAATTGTTATCATTTCTAACCCGAAGTAGCCACTCACATCATCGATGTTTTTAATTGGACTAAACTTTCTGGTCTGATCTGGTTTGATCTAATCCAGGGCCGGCCCTAAGGGTGTGTAGGGTGTCCAACCGCACAGGGCCCAAAAAATTGGAAGAGCCTAATTTTTTTTGTAGTAATATACTACTACTTTCGTCCCAAATTGATTTGCAAATTTGACTTTTCTTGGTCAAACAATTTCATTTCATTTGCTTAATTAAGATGTCAATTTTTAATAATATTCTAATTTGAAATTTACAACTTTGAAGAGATATTAATATAGTTTCTGAATATATAAATTTTAATTATTAAAAATGGAATTAATTATCGATAGCGAGCATTGACTTTTTTTATTGGTTGACCAAAAAATGTTGACTTTGCAAAACAATTTGGGACGGATGGAGTAATATTACTTAGAGGTGGAGCGTGTATATATATATAGGAACGAAGGAGTACTAAATCCTCCGTTTTCACCGGTGTGGGAATCTTAAGCTTTAGAAACTAAAAAGATAAGAAGCGAGGCATGCGGGATTCGAACCCAGGTGAAAATAAAATCATGCACACTGATCTCTAAACATCAACCCATTGAACCGAACTAATTGTTTAAATAAGGATGTACAAGCTTTATATTACCTATTTGTTCTACAAAATAAATAATTAAAAATACCTCATAATAAAAATCGGTTCGGTTCGGTTTGAACTCATTTTATAACTCAAAAAACCTTCATTAAACCGATTTATGTTCGAGTCCTGACTTTTGAGTCCCGTTTGAGCCGGTGCGGTTTCGGTTCGGTTTTTTAAATTATGTTGCAACTTTGAAAAGAAGACCCAATTATTTTTGTTGCACATGGCCTTCATTTCCTCAGGACCGGCCCTGATCTAACCTCATCTATTAAAATCCAGTCTGGTCTGATAAATGTCTGGTCTCTATGTATTTTACAACTTTCCAAGTCTGATCTGGTCTATTTAAGTCTGATATGGTTTGATGTGTTTAAGTCTGATCTAGTCTAGGACTAAAACCAGTCCAAGTAATTAAAAACATCCTATAATAGCATAAAGAATAATTTATTAGAGATTTGAATGGCTCCAGAACATGTTAACACACACATTTCTACCTGATAAAAGATTATCACAGTTAGGGACCCGTATGGTCGTACGTCCGACAACGATATGGAGACATGTTGTCAGTGAGAGATCAGCCTTATTCGCA